TACATGTATACAGATTGTCTGTGTTTATAAAAGTACTACATGTATACAGATTGCCTGTGTTTATAAAAGTACTAAATGTATACAGATTGTCTGTGTTTATAAAAGTACTACATGTATACAGATTGCCTGTGTTTATAAAAGTACTACATGTTTACAGATTGTCTGTATTTATAAAAGTACTAAATGTATACAGATTGCCTGTATTTATAAAAGTACTACATGTATACAGATTGCCTGTGTTTATAAAAGCACTACATGTATACAGATGGCCTGTGTTTATAAAAGTACTAAATGTATCCAGATTGTCTGTGTTTATAAAAGGAGTTCTATGGCTTAAGCTGCTGTAAGAAATTACAACTTCTATACAGATTGCCTGTGATATAAAAGCACTACATGTATACAGATGGCCTGTGATATAAAAGTACTACATGTTTACAGATTGTCTGTGTTTATAAAAGTACTAAATGTAGACAGATTGTCTGTGTTTATAAAAGTACTAAATGTATACAGATTGCCTGGATTTATAAAAGTACTACATGTTTACAGATTGTCTGTGTTTATAAAAGGAGTTCTATGGCTTAAGCTGCTGTAAGAAATTACAACTTCAATGCTGCAGAGTGATAGACAGTTATCCTGTAACTTAAATCTGTATTATATAAAATACCTTTTGAAAAAACAAAACCATAAACAATTATTTAAGGGAAAGTGTTCCTGGATTTTATTGAGGTATTGATGCTTAGGACGTCCCTGAATCATACTTATGAAAAAAAATATTGACAAGAAATTGGGAGTTGACAAAATTGCACAGTTAAGATCTTTAAAAATTCACCTTTATTTCCAGAAATAATATATTTCAGCTTCAGTGTTTAAAAGAGTTGAAAATGTATGTTGCCTCCTTGGTTTAGAGAAATCACAGTCTGGCAGTTCATGGGCATTTATGATTTGTATGTGTAACTAGCATGTATAAGTTCACTTTATTATTAATTGTTCAGGAGATATGTAGGATTTAATTAACACTTACTTGCTGTATAGCTACAAGTCTAATGTAAAAATGTAATGACCAAGTTTTGAATCCCCAGTTAATTGGAGAATAGTATTCACATACTTGCCAACTGTTTGACATTTCCATGAGGGAGATTCTGTATTCTCAAAATCAAAATATAGATAAAAAGTGTATAAAAACCACCTAGAGACCAAATCACCCTTTAAATTGACATAACAAATTGAACTTTCAGATGAAATCATTATATCTTAGAATAAAGGAATAGTTTAGCAAATTTACTGATTGAAAATACTAAATTTAAGGGTCCAAAATCGGGAGTCTCCCTCCTAAATAGAGAGAGTTGGCATCAGGTTAGGTTTGTAAGGTTTTTCCGTCTTATGAGAGGCGCTATATCAAGGTTTACTGTAGTTGTAACATGCATTCAGAATTCATATTCATCATATGAAGAGTTGTCTTTCTTTGAACATGTTTCAGGGATGAACCAGTAGGTATGATTTAGTGTAAACATTTCTGCTGATCCTTGATTTCAAGAGGCCATCAGTACCGAATGATTTTGGTCAAACGAGAAAATATTTTGAATTGTTTGTGCTTCTGAACGTAGCTTTGGTGTTTGTTGTACATGTTTATACTTGTACATAGGACAATGGGGTCATGATGATGTACAGATTATTATTTAAACAGCATTCCTACATTTATGACTGCAGGCGCTGAAGAAGATCGGGCAGGACCAGCTGATCTTATTGCTGTGTGTAGCTGTGTTTCTGTCCTATCTCCCCGAGGCCGGGGAATACTCCTGTTTCTTTGTCTACCTTAGATTGGTGAGTTCATATTATACATTACACTTCGGACTAGAGTCTGTTAGTCTATATGTATCATAGGTCAGTAAGAATGTGTTAATGTGTCTTCATGATTTTACCATGATGTCATTGACAGCAAAATCATTTTCTGGTTTGATTCCAATTATACATTCACTCTAATAGCTAGAACTTTAATAAAGCACCCTGTCTCCGTCAAAACAGTATCGCATCACATGTTTACGGTAACCTGTAATCTGCATCAGACTGAGGTGAATTAACCTTTTTGATGAGTCGAAAATAATGGAAGACAAGATTAATTATCAGGTTCAAAAGCTGAAAAACCAAAATATTTTTACAAATGTGTATCATAATAAAGTTGTGTAAAAATAGGTAGTCATATAAATCTTCTTAAAGATAGCTTTAAAAATTAGAAATTATTCAGTTTAAAAAATGTGGACCTGGAGATAAGTTGGAAGTAAGTAGGGTGGGGGTATATATTGAAAGGCATCATATTGAAGGTCTTATTCCGTCTTTGCGTAATGCAGAGTTATCTCCTCTTGGGAGCAGGTGTTGATTGTTACGTCATTGGTTTGTGTGAGAAAATTACGTCGTTTTCTCAAAAATTGATGACGTTACTCTCACAAACAAGTGCCGTAACAATCAATACCAGCTCCCAAGAGAAGATAACTCTGCAATACGCAAAGACGGAATACTAAAGGGCATTGTGTCATTGGTAAACTAAATAAGGGGCATTATATCAAGGTTTTGCTGTATAAGTGAGAGATGTTATATCAATATTCTTATTTATATAAAAACAACAGGAATCGTAAGAAATTTTACTGTCTCTAAATAATTAGGTTCTACTGTATGTAAAAGAGGGGCATTATATCAAGGTTTTTCCGTCTCACAGAGAGGCATTATATCAAGGTTTTTCCGTCTTATGAGAGGCACTATATCAAGGTTTACTGTAGTTGTAACATGCCACTGTTTGACTTTTTCAGAGAATGGGTTTCTCCGCTGAGGCTGTGGCTTCCTACATAGCTTTAGTAGGAGTTCTATCTGTTATTGCTCAAGTAAGTACTGACCAAGTGGATTTACCTCTCGCCGAAACAATGGCAACATGTTCACCAAACAATAATAATATTACAGTTGAATGAAGCCTGTACATTTTCCATCCCTGACAATTTAATCTGTTTATTTTTACTGTGTATCTGTCCCATGGTAGGTTAATTATTTGCCCTGACTTGAATCTGTGAATTTAATGTAGCAGTAAACTTAGTTAACAGAAGCTACAGACATATAACTATCACTCAATCGGCAAATTACAGAATGAACACAGCACAAATGTAATTATTTCAGAAAAATATCACTTTACTAAAATAAATGTATTTTGTATGTTATGAAGTTCTTAAGAAGTTTAATTTTTTTCTAAAGTTTTCACATTTACCAGTACATAATTCAGAGAATTCAATCAAGCAGAATGGACAAATAATCATTATATTGTATTTAAGGACATGAATGTGGAAATGATGGAAAACTAGAGTACCGTAGACTCCATAGAGCAGTGAAACAAAATGGAGACATGTTGTTCCCTAAAGCATTGTAACAAAATATGAATATTGTGTGTTGATTTGTTGTATAGATACGTGTCTGAGAGGGATGTAATGATAGTTTTACTGATTTGGTTGCAGACATTGATATGTTCAATAGATACGTGTCTGAGGAGGATGTAATGATGGTTGTACTGATCTGGTTTCAGACATTGCTATGTTGTATAGATACGTGTCTGAGGAAGATGTAATGATGATTGTACTGATCTGGTTTCAGACATTGATGTGTTGTATAGATACGTGTCTGAGGAGGATGTAATGATGGTTGACTGATCTGGTTTCAGACATTGATGTGTTCTATAGATACTTGTCTGAGGAGGATGTAATGATGGTTGTACTGATCTGGTTTCAGACATTGATGTGTTCTATAGATACGTGTCTGAGGAGGATGTAATGATGATTGTACTGATCTGGTTTCAGACATTGATATGTTGTATAGATACGTGTCTGAGGAGGATGTAATGATGATTGTACTGATCTGGTTTCAGACATTGATATGTTGTATAGATACGTGTCTGAGGAGGATGTAATGATGGTTGTACTGATTTGGTTTCAGACATTGATATGTTCTATAGATATGCGTCTGAGGAGGATGTAATGATGATTGTACTGATCTGGTTTCAGACATTGATATTGACAGTGTTGATGAAGTATCTTGGTCACAAGGGAGCCATCATGTTTGGCCTGGTGTTTGAGATCATACAGCTGGCCTGCTATGGTTTTGGATCTCAGGACTGGTGAGTATATACCACTACCTGGTTAGTCACACAGCTGACAAGGAACACTTCTCCTTATATCACATGATATTCAAATTTAGCTCAAATCTTAATAAAAGTTAGACAATTTTTCCCCAATTTGATACATATGAAAGTCAAATTCAAACTTTTGACTTTTACCAAAAAGTTTTTTCAATTTAGAATTGATAACTTCTAGCAGAATACAACATTTCAATTAATAAGTATTTTCCATAGAGGCAGTTTTATATTATGATTAAGGAGAAGGAGATAAGTAGTACATTAAGTGATAGTTTTTCTAAAGTCAAAAATGGTTGAAATTCTATTATAAAATATATTTTTCCAGAAAAATCCTTGTTTTATCATCTGTACCTGTGTTATATGAGACACATTCTACTTACAGGATCATGTGGGTGGCTGGATGTATGGCGGCCATGTCTAGTGTAACTTACCCAGCCATTAGTGCATTTGCCTCATCACACGCTTCTGCTGACCAACAAGGTAGGGAGACACTACACAATAGTAATATTTCTAATGTAATCTTCAACCTGCTCACACTATATGTTCATGTTATATTTCATTTCATTTTAAATCAATTTTATTGTATTCAAAAAAACACAATTGGATTAGGCACAGGCATTGCCTATAAAAGCCCTTTCCAGAGAAAATACACACATTTCATACATTCATATATACATATATATATCATAAATCAGAAAAATGATCCTTACGGACGAATAAATATTATATAAAGAAAAATTCTTAACAACGAGTCATTAAAGTTTTTGTCAAGTCTATCTGTAAGTAGATATAAATCAGAAAAATGATCCTTACGGACGAATAAATATTATATAAAGAAAAATTCTTAACAACATATATATAGAGAGAGTATTATAGAGAAGATGTAGTATATGTTCGAATTAATAGGAGAATACTAGAACCATTTAATACATGTTCACAGAAAATGATATCTAGAATATCATAGACTTTAACATTTCAATTAATATAGTCTATTCACTTCAATTATTAATAGCCTAGTGTTTGGTTGGAAGCACTTTATAAAATAGCAAATACAAACACATTGTAATATAATTTTTAGTATAGTTTAAGTTAAAATCTTCCAGATTTGTCAATAAACTCCAGAACACATGTTATATTTCTTTCAGCCCAGGATCTTTCAATCAAATATATCCAGTGTTGATTTGACCACCCTACTAGAGATTGGGAAGTCTGAAACATGGTGTCTATATCACTAAACTTTACTAATTAGCGACAACACTTTAGATTAGTTGAACTTGTATCAAAAGCAGAATATAGGTTTCTTGAGCATATTGTGGCTAGTAGTTAATGTAAGGACAGCAGTCTTAGTATGTAGGTAAATCATGAAAAAGCCCAACATTTCATATAGGGTTATTATATGTGGTATAAATGTACATCATAGACAAGCATTAGGCTGAGTACCAAAATAGATTAGATAACTTCTGTTCTCTATTGTTTCATATTAAAACGTGTGATTAATTAACCATCAAACAAAACTGATATTAGACATCACGAATAGTTACTAACAGATTCTATTATAACTAAATAAATGAAATAAAATAGATTTATTAAATTATGTGAATTAGTTGACGTATTGAAAAATCAATAAAAAGTGTTCTTTGAATTTTTCTTTTGATAATGAATTTGACGATCGAAGAACTTATTTGAAATAACCAGTAAAGCATGTGTTCGTGCGTGCCACTGGGGAGAATTCCTTTTTAGTGTATTCGAATTGTCTTTCTTTGAACACAGAATCAAATTTGAGGCAGAGAAACATATGACAGCTACATGTACTTTCGGCAGGTGAAATTTGTTTGTATTTAAAAGAAACAGCTTTCAGTTGATAGTTTTTTGTTTCCATTAGTAGATTGTACATTTGTCTATGACAGTCATCAGTAGTTTCAACAATTGTTTATCTATATGAGTATGAAATTGGTTGCTTCCTAAGGGGCGGGAAACCAATGATGCGAGGGTGATACAGTAATACCTGACTTGACCAACACCTGACTTTGAAGACACCTGTATAATCTGTTAAATGACTAGTTTGTCTGTATATGGCTGTACTAAATACATTGTCCTATATCTGACATAACAATTCAGTTCCCCATGATGTTGGTCAAGTAATACTGTATCAATAGTTATCTATATGAGGAGAAGACTTCATAAGTTAAGAAATATTGTGTCAAATATATCTAAACTAAAACTAAACTACTATATAGTTCTCCATGATTCCTCTAAGTTGGTGAAGGTGCCACTATATGTTTTCCCTGGTTAGGAACATTACAGAGAATGGTGAAGTTCATAAAGTTGGTTCTTATTGAAGGTGGTGTCTAATTACAGGTTCACTTAACATGAAGATAAGTGCAATATTGAATTTAACAAGTAGTTTGTTTACAAGAGTGAAATTTATTCAACTTATGACGGACTAGAGGTGGGACTACTCGCGTCCCGAGAGCTGGTTTGACTGCCTCTGTATCGTTCTGAATAAGAATAAGGCAGCTTTACCACGGTGACACTATGTCTAGCCTACGTCATTTCAAGTCACATATTTATAAGATCATCAAAATGTTTCGAAGGAAGGTTATCTAATGTTACAAACATTCACAAGAGATTGAATGTCATGAATAATTTTGAAGACAGAATAGATGAACATATCCCATTTTAACTTAAGTGCCATCTAATATCATTATTTTCAATTTAATACCATTGTAATGAATGTAAATCAGCTACAAATCATGTAATAGGAAGATTAAAGGGGATATTGATCACAAATACTAAAAGAAAATACAACTTTAGCTACCTAGGATTACGTTTTCATACTTTTTACTCGGAAATCATTTCTTTCACTTATTTTCAGAGAATTTATATTATTATATGAGTAAAGGGTACGAACAAGTTAAACTTGATTAATGTCACTGCTGCTATTGTGAAATATTTGTTTAAGTCCCTTTTAAAAGAAAAATTCCAGAAAAAATCCATGTTGTCATGCATTTTACAAAATTGTAGCTGTTCAAAGTTTGAATGTTTGAAAAATGAAATGAAAAAGGGGGAAAAAGGAAGAATGCATGGGTTGGCCTTGGGGCCTTTAATTTACCTTGGAAAGTCTACTCTATATCGATGTGGCCATGGTCGACCTTGGGGCCTTTATTTACCTTGGGAAGTCTACTCTATATCAATGTGGCCATGGTCGACCTTGCGGCCTTTATTTACCTTTGAAAGTCTACTCTATATCGATGTGGCCATGGTCGACCTTGGGGCCTTTATTAACCTTGGAAAGTCTACTCTTTATCGATGTGGCCATGGTCGACCTTGGGGCCTTGATTTACCTTGGAAAGTCTACTCTATATCAATGTGGCCATGGTCGACCTTGGGGCCTTTATTTCCCTTGGGAAGTCTCCTCTATATCAATGTGGCCATGGTCGACCTTTGGTCCTTTAGTTACCTTGGAAAGTCTACTCTATATCAATGTGGCCATGGTCGACCTTTGGGCCTTTAGTTACCTTGGAAAGTCTACTCTATATCAATGTGGCCATGGTCGACCTTTGGGCCTTTAGTTACCTTGGAAAGGCTACTCTATATCAATGTGGCCATGGTCGCCCTTGGGGCCTTGATTTACCTTAGAAAGTCTACTCTATATCGATGTGGCCATGGTCGACCTTGGAGCCTTTATTTACCTTAGAAAGTCTACTCTATATCGATGTGGCCATGGTCGACCTTGGGGCCTTGGTTTACCTTGGAAAGTCTACTCTATATCGATGTGACCATGGTCGACCTTGGGGCCTTTATTTACCTTGGGAAGTCTACTCTATATCAATGTGGCCATGGTCGACCTTTGGGCCTTTAGTTACCTTGGAAAGTCTACTCTATAGCAATGTGGCCATGGTCGACCTTGGGGCCTTGGTTTACCTTGGAAAGTCTACTCTATATCGATGTGACCATGGTCGACCTTGGGGCCTTTATTTACCTTGGGAAGTCTACTCTATATCAATGTGGCCATGGTCGTCCTTGGGGCCTTGATTTACCTTGGAAAGTCTACTCTATATCGATGTGACCATGGTCGACCTTGGGGCCTTTATTTACCATGGAAAGTCTCCTCTATATTGATGTGGCCATGGTCGACCTTGGGGCCTTTATTTCCCTTGGAAAGTCTACTCTATATCGATGTGGCCATGGTCGACCTTGGGGCCTTTATTTACCATGGAAAGTCTACTCTATATTGATGTGGCCATGGTCGACCTTGAGGCCTTTATTTACCTTGGAAAGTCTACTCTATATCAATGTGGCCTTACATAACATCAAAATGAGTGTCCAATTGATTGGCTGTAAAGCATATGAAAACCTTGACAGGGGAAGTTACTCTAAGCCAGAAACACTCCTTTGTGTTGCTTTATCTTCTATACAGAGAGGAGAATGATCCAAGTCTGACAAACAGTGGAACTCTTCTTTGTGATTATAACTGATGCAGGGATACCCTTTCCCTTAAAGTTGACCTAATATTTACAAATCAAATTAATCTTTTAGAAATGTTTTGATTGGTGCTGAACCTTTTTAAATAGGGGTGCCCGATTTCATTTGGACACAAATGCTGGAGACAAAAAGCAGTTTTTTTTTTAATATTCTGTTGATGTGATATTAATCACGTTTCTATATTTGTGTTGAGTTCATTCAAATGTGTCGCTGAAAAAAAGAATCAATAAGTAGCAGATGAGTTTTTGGAATTCTTTTTGTGGTGTCTTGTTCATGTGCACTGTTTGATTGCTCACATTTAATAAAAATTAATACAAGCAGCTTGTACTGTTTAAATATTTATGGAAGTTAGTTTGTATTCATACTCTTTTGTAACCCAGAAACCACAGAAATATATCTGGTGTAAATACTGTTAGTTGATGTGCAGAGGTATAGGGATGTACATTGTTAGCTCACTTGGACTGAAGGACCAAAGTGAGTATGCTGTTCTCTGGCAGTATCCCTCTGTCCATCAACAAATCCCAAAACAACCTTTTATTGAACTGTTTCTGGGAATTTCAATTAATTTCACTGGAAGCAGCCTTAGGTTGTTGTGATTCAAATGGAGGGTTGACCTGTTTAGAGTGTGAACGGCAGAGCCATAAGGGGGTACATTGCTTTAAAACATATTCTTCTCTTGAACTATGCGATGGATATCAACCATATTTTGTTGAAAGCATAGTTTTATTAAGATCTTTTTGCTTTTATTGCTTAAATATCCAGGTTAGCATTACAGGCGATCCTATAGGGGTGAAATGCAATGAAAATATTTAAATTGTAATTTAGTCTGGACATTTTGGTTTTTGTTAACAATTAAACATAGATTAATTTTGACACAACACTTTCTGTGTACATATGATAAACATTTCAGGAATAAGGGTAATTTCTTGATTTGGAAAACAAGTGTCAAAATTAGGAAAATTTGATATTTCAGATATTGTCACTTAGGGTTTCTG